CAAGCTCCATGTTGGGTGTAGAGATGACTTAAATAATAAAAGTCCCCAATTCTGAGCTTTTGTACCCACTCCAATAGTTCAAACAGTCTACTACTAGTGCAGCCTGATTGTATTGACTTTCTGGTAGCTGCTTTCCCTTCTGGCTCTTGAAACTTGGCATCAGCTGAAGTTCATAGATGGAAATCTAGCAGTTGGCTGGGACTGGTCATGTGGACGACAGTTCAGTGTACTAACCTAATTCTGATGGCTTCCTCGTTTTAGAATCTTACAGTGATTCCTTACTGCTTAAAGACAACTTGACTTACAAGCCCGCACAGCATCTGTTCTTAGCTGTCCAGCCCCATCTCTTCTCCCTCCCGCCCCCCCTTGTCCTTGTTCTCTTCACTCTTGGTCATATATATGTTCTCTAGTGCTCTTGACTGGAAAGTGCTAATGGTCCACGCGCCACTGTCCATGTAAACTGCACAATCTCTTAGCTCCAGTTTTCACTATCATTTTGGATTCTCCAGAAGTTTTTAACCATCATGGGTTTTCAACAAGTAAATGCTGGTGTAGGTGTTAGTGGAGGTGTTGACTAAGGAAGTGAATTAAGGAGCAGCTATATTAGGGAATGGAGCTCCTTGAAGCAACTGGTTAAGGAACTGAGGTTAAGGTCAGCAGCTGTCAGGCAGTGAGTGGTTGGTGGAAGACGGAAGCTGACGTAGCAAAGAGCATCAAACCCAAGTGCAGCAACTGAATGAAAGTTGGACAGAGTGAGATTTCAGAACAAATGTGAAACAGTTCTGCTTGAAGTTTTAGGTGCTACCTTCCCAGCTTGTAATCTCTAGATACATTACGAAGCCTTAAAACTGAATCAGGATATGTATCTGACTTCAAATTGGTCACAAAGAAACATTGATGGTATAGACACCTTTGTTGTGTGTTTAAAAAGCAAAAGTTCCCACTGGGAATGAGACAGTATAAACTATGTTCAAGCCCTGGTCCTGTTTCCAAAAGGATAACTATTACCAACTGAATACTTTCTTTCTTTAAAGTATTTTTCATGTTTATTTACGGGAGTGTGAGAGCACAGAAGAGAGTGAGGGGCAGAGGGTGAAGCAAACTCCCCATCGTGCAGGAGGCTGGAGGGGGGGGGCTGTATCCTGGCTCTCAGGGATCATGACCTGAGCTGAAGGAAAATAACATGAGCTCTCTGAGCCACCCAGTTGGCCTTTGATACTTCCTGTGTACTTGGAAGCAAGATGATACTATAGTGGTGATGACAGTGCAATTAATCATTCGCTTATTTAGTTGTTGGGGGTGTCTTGTGTTGATGTCTTCATTTATGTGGTCAAAAATTAGCTTTTTTTTTTTTTAAATGCTTACATCATAAGCATTAGGACGATTAGAGGGAAAGGGACAAGCAGACCCCCCATTGAGTGGGGAGCCTGATGCTGGGTGTGATCCCAGGACCACGACAGATTATGACCTGAGCCACCCAGGCACCCCCCAAATTCTCTATTGACAAACAACATTTTTTAAGAGATTTTATTTATTGGGGCGCCTAGGTGGCTCAGTGGGTTAAAGCCTCTGCCTTCGGCTCAGGTCCTGATCCCAGGGGCCTGGGATCGAGCCCCGCATCGGGCTCTCTCCTTAGCGGGAAGCCTGCTTCCTCCTCTCTCTGCCTGCCTCTCTGCCTACTTGTGATCTCTGTCAGATAAATAAAATCTTAAAAAAAAAAAAAGATTTTATTTATTTGACAGATTACAAGCAGGTGGAAAGGCAGGCAGGGGGTGGGGGGGAAGCAGACTCCCCACTGAGCAGAGAGCCCAATGTGGGGCTCAGTCCCAGGACTCTTGAGATAAGACCTGAGCCGAAGGCAGAGGCTTAACCCACTGAGCACCCAGGTGTCCTGATGAACAACTGTTACTAACTCAGAGTTGCCCTGTGGTTGAGTAAAATTTTGTTCATAGCTGCGTTAGAGTATGGTAAACGTAGTAGCAGTTGAAATTAGGTCAACTATAGTTACAATTTGGTTTCTTAGTATATTTTTCCATTTTGTTAACTGACTACTTTACCCAGGGCATTTCAGGATCTTGGTTATTTTTAACTGTTTCCACCAATGTTACATCTTTGCATGTGAGGTATGTGGGGAAACATGAAGTTTCCCTTGCAGAAATTCTTCCAGTAGAACCTTTACATTTAGATTTGGGCAGCTGCCTTCAAGGTTTCTTAGGTAAATATGGCTGTTTCTCTGCATACTCGAATCAGTGGACAAGTGGAATATACATACCGTTAACTCTGTCCACCAGCTCTGGATGACTGACCATCTGGGATACAGTGAGGTGTCCTATAAGGCCAGCCACATTGACACCTAGGAAACAGGTACTTAACCTTACTCGACCAGCTGTACATAGATGCCAGTTAGGGGAGTTGTGGCCTGTCAAAAATCATTTTCTCTTACTCAAGAGAAAAAGATGAATAGAGGACCAAAGAATTAATAAAAAAAGAATGGGAAAAAACCCTCCCTGGGGAACCTTGGCTGGCTCAGTAGAGCATGTGATTCTTGGTCTCTGTAGGTTCAAGTCCCACAGTGGGTGTAGAGCTTACTTGAAATAAAATCATTGGGTGGGGGGGTGGGGAGGAAACCTGACAGAAGTTGGTGGATGGGTAGATCGAGATTAGTGGTGGTGGTGGTAGTTCTTGATGACCGGGGTTATCTATAAAAAATAATGGCCCATATCACTTGCACCTAGAGAAATGGAGATTGCCGCTTGTTCTACTCATTCCTCACCCAATCCCCACTTTCTGATTTAGTAGATATGAGATGGTCCCTAACTTCTTTTTTTTTTTTTTTAATATTTTATTAATTTGACTCACAAGTAGGTAGAGCAGCCTGCAAGGAGTGGAGGAAGCAAGAGTCCCTCCTGAGAGCCCATTGGGGGAGGGTGGGGGTCGGTGAGGGTGGGTTGATCCCAGGACCCTGAGATCATGACCTTAGCGAAAGGCAGAGGCTTAACCCACTGAGCCCATGGTGCTGATGCTGCTAATCAAGGTTCCCTAAGTCCTACAAGGGCATACTCTGATAATTGGTGTTTAGGAAACTACTCATTAGGTATGCATGTCCTCCTTGAAGGCTGAGGAGCAGTAGTAGTCTGTTAGCCAAAGAACATAATGATTCTCTTTGCCTCTGTTTTCACATGCAGATTTTACATGATTTTTTCTTAAGTAGGCTCCATGCCCAGTTTGGAGTCCTGGGTGCGGGGCTTGAACTAGAAACCCTGAGATGAAGAGACCTAAGTTGAGATCAGGAGTTGCTTAACTAGCTGAGCCACTCGGGTACCCCTCTCATGGTGGCTTCTAAAGAATTAAAGGGGTGCCTGGGTGGCTCACTTGCCTTGTGACTGTGATCAAGCCCCGTATCGGGCTCCCTGCTCAGCAGAAAGCTTGCTTCTCCCTCTACCCGTGCTTGTGTTCCCTCTCTTGCTGTGTCTGTCAAATCTTTTAAAAAACAAAATTAAAATGGTGTTTTAAAAAGATTTTATAAAATTTGACAGAAGAAGCACACAAAGCAGGGGAGCAGCAGAGGGAGAGGGAGAAACAGTCCCCCTGCTGAGCAGGGAGCCTGAGGCCGTGCTTGAACCTAGGACTGTGACCTGAGCTGAAGGCAGCTGCTTAACACTGAGCCACCCAGGCGCCCCTAAACTGGTTTCTTGGAAGTAGTGAAAAAGGTAGTCTGACCCATTCTCGTTTAGATTGTTTCTTGCTTCTTGATCTTTCTACAGAGAGAGCTGCCATTATGGCAAAAGTCTATGAAAAACAAGATGCTACTTTCCTAGGACTGTAAAATGAGAATTATTGTCAGACTTAACTGCAGGGTCATGATCCCAGGGTCCTGGGATTGAGCCCTGCATTGGGTTCCCCAAAATAAATAAATCTTAAAAGTATTAAGAGCAGATTAATGATGACACCAGTTGAAATGTAAATTGGTGCACATGCGTACGGGAGACCTTCTTGTGGTACCATTAATGGATAATCTTACCAGGCCGTCTTGGTTTTGTGTTCATTCCACATGTTGTGTAGAACAGGATATATTGGGTGTATTACTATACAGCACTAGGATACTAGTGTGTTAACTGTGGGGAGTACATTGGTCATGATTTTTTTTTTTTCTTTTTAATTTTACAGGGGCGCCTCTGTGGCTCAGTGGGTAAAAGCCTCTGCCTTCAGCTCAGGTCATGATCCCAGGGTCCTAAGGTTGAGATGCATGTCAGGGCTCTCTGCTCAGCAGGGAGCCTGCTTCCACCTCTCTCTTCTCTGCCTGCCTCTCTGTCTACTTGGGATCTCTCTCTCTTTCAAATAAATAAAATCTTTAAAATTGATTTTACAGAGACAGCAAGAGGGAACACAAGCTGAGGGAGTGGGAGAGGGAGAAGCAGGCTCCTGCTGAACAGGGAGCCCAACGGGCTTGATCCTGGGACTCTGGGATCATGACCTGAGTGAAAAAGTACATGGGTAATGATGGAGCCACCCATGTGCCCTAATTCAATTTTCTTTTTAAAGTAATCTCTGCCCCCAGTGTGGGTCTTGAACTTAACAGTCCCAAGATGGAGTTGTGTGCTCTACCGACTCAGCCAGCCAGTGTTCCGGACTGTTTGTTTTTGTATTACTGATTGGTGAGAGTTCTTTATAGGCAAGATGGGGGGTCTTTTATTAGATAAGTGATATGCAAATATTTCCTCCTAGTCTGTGGCTTACTTACAAAATTCTCTTGGGGGTATAGCTCAGGGGCAGAGCATTTGACTGCAAAATTCTCTTAACAGTGGCTTGTGAAGCACCCAAAATTGAACCTGTGTAAATAACTTTTTTTTTTTTTTTAATTTATTAGAGATGCACATATCATGACCCGAGCCTGAGGCAGATGCTTAACCCACTAAGCCACCCAGGTGCCCCAGTCACAGAGTCAGGACTGGCTGTATAGTCCCTTTTAAATCAAACTTTGTGGTTTTTTCTCTCAACAGGTATTTCATGCATGGGGTTTGTAAGGAAGGAGATAACTGTCGCTACTCACATGACCTCTCCGACAGTCCTTACGGTGTAGTGTGCAAGTATTTTCAGCGAGGATATTGTATTTATGGAGACCGCTGCAGGTAAGAATTGTTCACAGATAAGTTTTGTTCAGAGGTGGAGTGGGAGAGGTTGGGAAAAGGGGAGAGTAAAGAGGCGCCTGGGTGGCTCAGTGGGTTAAAGCCTCTCCCTTCAGCTTGGGTCATGATCCCAGGGTCCTGGGATCGAGCCCCGCATCGGGCTCTCTGCTTGGTGGGGAGCCTGCTTCCCTCCCCACCCTCCACCCCCGCCTCTGCCCACTTGTGATCTCTGTCAAATAAATAAAATCATTAAAAAAGGGAGGGGGAATAAAATAATTCTCACAGCTTCGTAAATTTTAAGGTAAATGCTTTGAAAATTACTCCTTAGCAGTGTTAGTACACTGGTAAATCTCAACTTGGAAAATCTCAACTTGGAGGGCATGTAATTAATACACTAAAAAAAATTTTTGTAGTGCAGTCCGAAGTTTAATTCCTGATAATCCTCTTCTGCAAACCTAGGGATAGGTGTGGAGAAAGAATGTTTGTATATGACCTTTTCCCCCCCCAAGACTATGAATGATGTGCATATTTGACCATAGTTTCAGATCTTTATTAATAGTGAACTAAATGGAGAGAAAATGGGATCGTAGGCATTTGGGGAATAGTATTAGGTTGCTAGTTACAAGAGCTTGTCACTGCATGTCAGCTTTGCTGAACCTTTTGAGCTTGCAAGACTAGGTGTAAGCTTGGATTTAGGGAAAATACTTAAAGAATGTGCCTAGTAATCATCAGAATGTTAAAGAACCAAGAGGGATTCATTCTGTAATCTCTATCATTATTCAATGAATTGGTACCATAATCCTGTTAAAATCAGCAATGTGGCAGTTGTGGCTCTTGCTTAGAAATCAGGTGGAGCTTTTCTTTATTTCCAAGTCAAAGATGTGTTTTAGTTTCCTGTTAATTGGGGTGCCTGGATGGCTCAGTCGGTTGGGTGTGGGCATCTGCCTTGGGCTCAGGTCATGATCCCAGGGTCCTGGGGTGGAGCCCTGGCTCGGGCTGCCTGCTGGTTGGGGAGCCTGCTTTCTCTCCTTGCTCTGCTGCTGCTCCTGCTTGTTCTGTTAGCCTCCCCCCCCACCCGCCCCGTGTGTGTGTGTGTGTGTGTGTGTCTGTGTCTGTGTGTGTCTGTGTGTGTGTGTGTGTCTGTGTGTCTGTGTGTGTGTGTGAATATTTTATCTGGGAGAGAACAGGAGAGCCCCAGATAGAGAAGCAGACTCCCTGCTGAGCAGGAAGCCTGGCCTGGGCCTTGATCCGGGAACTCTGGGATCATGACCTTGAGCCCTAGGCTCAAGTGACTGAGCCACGTAGGCACTTCTAAAGTCTTCCCCCAAAGTAGTTACCTATTGATGTTGAACAAATTTACCCCGAGATTTAGTAGCTTAGAAATAAACAACATCTCCCAGTTTCTGGGAGTCTGAAATTGGTGTGGCTTAGCTGGGTTCTTCTAGTTCTGAGATTTCAGAGGTTGCATGAGGATTTCAGGCAGGGCTCTCGTCTGTCCTCTCCCAGGAGCTTGGAGGATCACTTTTAAGGTGGCTCACACACTATTAAGGAAACCTTAAGTTTTTACCAGTTGGTCCTCTCCCTAGGGATGCATCAGTATTTTACTTGGTCGCTATCCTTCCCCAGAGCAAGTGATTGGAGAGAGAGATCAAGGACACATCCACAGTGCCTTTTACGACCTAGTCTCCAAAGTCCCACACTTACTTCCAGTCTGCTCATTAGTACAAGCAAGTCACCAAGTCCAGCCCATATTCAAGGGGGGAGAGAGTGGGCCCCAGCTTTTGAAGGGAGGATTACTAAAGACTTGTGGACACACTTTAAACCATCATATTAGGTAAGACATTGGGTAAGACACTGTCAGCCAGTTTCACCATTCTATGGTCAGAAAATATGTCAGCTGTTGTGTTCAGATGCTTAGAATTGAAAAGGCTAAGAAATTAATGATGGGTGATACAAATGTTCAGTCACCCCACATTCATTTTACTAGGAAATCTCGTAAGGATAGAGAAAAACACTTTATGTGACTGTGAGAACTCAGAAATGGAACCCCTGTCTGAGTATATGTTACTTTGCTCTCTGCTAATTTTTTCATGGCAATATTACCAGAAAGGGGTGGAAATGCCCCCCCCCAACCCCACCACAAACCTAGGTCTTATCTTTATCACCATATGAAAGGGCCTGAGTTGGTAGAACTCCATCATACATATATATATAAATATATGAAAATACATTTAAGGAAGTGATTTTTTTGTAGCAGGACAGTGTCCGTTGGTTTTCTGGGCCAACGTAATGGTAGGGTAGCTGGGTTCTTCGCCTAGACAGTTTGCTGAGAATCTGTAAACTCTGTCCAGGGAGAGAGGAAATAAACGTCAGGAGTGGAAGTGAGACTCGAGGATGTCCGGCAGAGAGAGGTGGAGAGAGTGCTCTATGGTAGGAGTAGGGAAGGTATGGCTGGTTAACATCAGCTGCTCGCTTCAGAGGAGGGACTCGATCTAATTGGACCATATAGAAAGAATGAAATGAGGTGAAATTGAAGAAACCCAAGCTGAGGCCAAGGCTGTGTGTGTTAATCAGCTTTTTTTTCAGGTAACTTTGCCAGCCCTATGTAGCATTTCATACTCTCCTTGAGTAAGTATGGAAGCCTATCCTCACTGTAACCCTGTACTCAGTGGACTTCCTTGTGGGAGATGAAGTTGAAGGCCAGGGAGTGAGGTGGGTGCCCTGCTACGGTGACGCTCTCACCGGCAGTTTCAAGTCACCTAATGAACAGCTTCTTTTTAGTTTTCTAAGAAAGACCCAGCCCCCTCTTGGGCAAGTGTTCCCCTTTTGAGCTTGGTTTAGAGCTCCCAGGGCGAAGTGAAAGGAATTAGGAAAGCCTATGTATGCATTAAGTCTGCCTGAAAGGAAGCTTGGTAATAGTGTGGGGCTGATGTGCAGGAAGCCCTCACACCTACCCTGCACTCTGACCTGTGCAGGGCTCTTTGTATACAAACGGGCCAGTGTCCAGAGATGAACTCCTCATAGAGGGATTAGCTCATAATGAAAGATACACTAATGTTAGCAGTTCACACACACACTACTGCATCCGTACTTCATGATGGTGACATGCCTCCATTACTCAGAACTGCTGTGTGCACTGCTGGTCCTGTGACCTGTAACATTGCCCCCACCTACTTGAAGCCAGAAAAACACTCGCTACTGAATACTCAATACTTGTGGAGATGAGAGGAAGTATTGCCTTGGTTGACAACCATTGCTATGGAAGATATTGTATTCTTTGGAGGGCCCTTTCCCTCTGGACCCAATGTCTCCCATTAGTGAAAGTTTAAGATTTATTTCTTTGAAAGAGCATATAAGCAGGGTAGGGGCAGAGCAGAGAAACAGACTCCCCATTGAGTGATGATTCCCAGGAGATCCCAGATACCCCAACACGATGACCTGAGGGGAGAAACCAAGCTGTAAGTTAAAATAAAGACTGATCCCAGACCTTGGAATGATTGGGGCTGGGAAGTAGCCAACCAGAGAAGAAGCATCATGTGTCCTCTCTTGCTTAACACTGGAGGAAAAATTGATAAAACTTCTTACATAGAAATCAATACTCTTAATGATAAAGTATTTGCGAAGTTGTGAAAGAAAAGCCCAATGTTAGTTTCAGTGCTGTCTCAACACTTAACACTTCGATAAAAAGGATCACTGACCTGGGATAATCTTAAGGTATTAATAAGCATTATAAGTACATTATCCTGGACTCCAAATCCAGGAGTTGAGAGAGTCTGAAGTAGGACCTGGCAGTTCGTTTGTGCAGGGCCAGGTAATAAATGTATTTTGGCTGTGGAGGCCAGGTTGTCCACTGTAGTTTGATAGCAGCCATGGGTGATGCGTAGTTAATGGATGTGGTGTGTTCCCAGGAAGCTCTATGGGGACCCTGAAATTGGCATCTCACGTGGCATACAACAGTCTTTTTTCCAACCATTTAAAATTAATCAAAACCAAGAATACAAGTCTGGTTATTTCCTGAATTGTCTCCTGAAAATACAGTTCTAGTTGCCTGTGTAAATGCCTGTTTTTAAAAAAATAGTAAAGATTGGGATGCCTGACTGGCTTGCTCAGTATCAAAAACCAGTTTTCTCTCTGGGTTTGGCCTGAGGGTTATAGACTGCATTGATCCTGTTCTTAATTCAGGTCCTTGCTTCACTGAACTATATTCTTTTAGAAAGCACCTTTTTTTTTGTTTTATTATTTGGCTCAGGGAGAAGGCATGCGAGTGCACAAGTGGGCAGAACTTGAGGGGAGAGGGAGAAACCGACTGCTGAGTGGAGAGCATGATGTGTGGGGTTGGTCCCTGGGAACATGACCTAAGATAAGGCAGATACTGAGTGAGCCACCCAGGTGCCCCTAGTAAGCACTTTTCAAAATGCATCTTGGATTTCCTTTATTAATGTTTTTCTTATGAGTATTTTTCCTAGTACTTAAGCACAAATCTTCAGAACATTCATAGGGTTCTGATCCTGGGGTACCTGAGTGGCTCAGACAGTTAAGTGTTTGCCTTCGGCTCAGGTCATCACCCCAGGATGCTGGGATCAAGCCCCACATTAGTCTCCTTGCTTGTTGGGGAGCCTACTTCCCCCTCCCTCTGCCTGCTGCTCTGCATGCTTGGCGTGCACTCTCCCCCTGTCAAATAATTAAAGTCTTAAAAAAAAAAAAACCAGTTCTGCATTAAGGGACTAACTTTGCCTAAATAGATTGATATGATTTTAAAAGTTAATTTTCAAAATAGATAATCATTTGTATACAAGGACCTTATTTTATCCATTTCAAAGATATATTTTGAGAGCTCTCTCAAAATGGATTGAGAGAGCGTGCATGAGCAAGACTACTACTAAGCAGTCTTCCGCACCCAGGCTGAGCCAGAGGCAGGACTGTATCAGGACACCCAAGATCATGTCCTCTGACTGAGCCAACAGGGTGCCCCATGTGATACACTTATATGGTGTGGTCGGTGTTCATTATCAGGTGTTGCTCAAAAAAAAAAAAAACAAAAAAAAAAAACAAAAAAAAAAAAAACAAACCACAACCCTGAACTGTTCCGGGTGCTTGTGTGGCTCAGTCTGTTAATCGTCTGTCTTCATCTGGGGTCGGGATTTCAGGCTCCTGGGAAACCGCTTCTCCCTCCTGCCTCTCCTCATACATTATTATCTCTCAAATAAAATCTACAAAGAAATGGCTGTCTATTCCTCTGTCTAATATGGTAACTATGAGCTCCCTGTGTGTGTGGAACATTGAAGAAAATATGGCTAGTGCTAGGACCAACTGGGTTTTCTATTTAAGGATCAGTATTTATTTATTTATTAAAGATTTTATTTATTTACTTGACAAGGAGAGAGAGCTCATAAGCAGAGGCAGGTTGGGGGAGGGGGGAGGCAGGCTCCCAGCCAAGCAGAGAGCCCGATGTGGGGCTCGATCCCAGCACCCTGAGATCATGACCGGAGCCGAAGGCAGAGGCCTAACCCACTGAGGCACCCAGGTGCCCCGAAGTATCCATATTTAGATGTGGCCATTGGCTGCCATCATACAGAGCAGTGGAGTCACATTAGACCTACAGCACCACTTAACTTGACTTTTTTTTTTTTAAGATTTTATTTATTTATTTGACAGAGATTGCAGGTAGGCAGAGAGAGAGAGAGGAGGAAGCAGGCTCCCTGCTGAGCAGAGAGCCCGATGTGGCGCTCGATCCCAGGACCCTGAGATCATGACCTGAGCTGAAGGCAGAGGCTTAACCCACTGAGCCACCCAGGAGCCCCAAGACTTTTTTTTTGTTTTGGTAACGGTTGGCCCATGGTTAGGGTGGCCCAGTAATTAATTGCAAGACCTGCTAGATTCGAGTACTATAAATCCGTTTGAGCTCAGATGTAACTGTGTTCTCTCATTATTGTGTGTGAATGAATGTCTGAATTGCGGGGACTTCATTGGGCAGAAAGTTTGTTTTTTGGTTTTTTTTTTCCTCAAAAGATTTTATTTGACAAACAGCGAGAGAGCACATGAGCAGAAACATAAGCAGGGGGAGCACCAGAGGGAGAAGGGATATGGGGCTCTATCCCACAACCCTGGGATCATGACCTAAGCTGAAGGCAGATGCTTCAGTGGCTGAGCCATCCAGGCTCCCCAGGAAGTTGGTACTTGAAGGGAATCATTTTTTCCCAAGTTTTGAGATATGGTTTAATAATTGGACAGACAAAAAGGAATGAGGGAATGTATAGGGTAAAAATTGGAGTAAAATAATTAGGTCAATGAATGTATATAGGGAAACAGTATATACTGTATATTGTATATAGAAAAAGAGTATATACTGTGTATATACTCTATATTGTAAATCCTGCGTCCTGCTTAATGTGAACATTGTAATGTGGTAAAATGTTTTACATTTTCTACGAGATTGAGAGTCCACCTTTCTTCAATTAATGCTTGGGTGGACAGTCTCTCTAGCAGAGTTGCCATGGCAACCGTGAGACTAGGATTCCAGTAGAATTGGAAGGGTGATAGGTGGTCTGCTGCTGGGGTGTGCAAACCTCGCCAGAGGCTCTAAACTTTGACCCCTGGTCTATGACCTTGCTACTTAAGAGTTGTCCTTGGGCCAGCAGTAGTACCATCCTGTGGGGTCTTGTTAGACATGCAGAATCACGGGCTCTGCCCCAGACTTAGAAATTGAGACTTGTCTTTTAACAATTTTCCCAGGTGATCATAGGCACAGTATTTTGAAAACTCAAGGAGAGAGGGTCAGGGAATACATAATTAATTCATGTGGGGCTGCTGGCCAGGCAGTGACTGCTGACCTTTTCAATTTTTTTTTTAAGGTATGAACATAGCAAACCATTGAAACAGGAAGAAGTGACGGCGGCAGATCTAACTTCAAAATCATCCGTTGCTGCTTCAAGTCTCTCATCAGGAGTTGGACCAATTGTTGAAATGAATATGGGCGAAGCCGAGTCAAGAAATTCAAACTTTGCAACTGTAGGAGCAGGTTCAGAAGACTGGGTGAATGCCATTGAGTTTGTTCCTGGGCAGCCCTACTGTGGCCGGAGTGAGTATCTTGAAGACTAGAAACAACTTAGGGCACTAAATTGGATTACCCAAGACTTACCCAGTGGAGTGAAGGGAACTTTTGGAACCCCAGTGATAGTGAATTTAGAGTGTGTTGAAAAACTGAAGCCTCTTCAATCAGTGCAGTCGTGCAAGAAATGGTATTGTTTTGTCGTGTGTGTGTGTGTTTTGTTTGTTTTTTATTTTTTCTTTTTAAACAAGCTAAATCTTTGAAATTTCAGCATTAGAAAATCAGTTAAAGAGTGAGAGAGTTATAGTTCAGTAGACTAGGAGTTTAATTGAAGTACTACTCACTTCTTCCTGTTCAGTTAGGTTCAGTTAACTTCAGTTCACATATCTGCCTTACCTATTTGGACCTTTACTACCCTCTTAACCGTTTTCAGCTGCCCCTTCCTGCACCGAAGCTCCCCCTCAGGGCTCAGTGAGCAAGGAGGAATCGGGGAAGGAGCAGACGGCAGCAGAAACCAAGAAGCAGCTTTGCCCCTACGCTGCGGTGGGTGAGTGCCGCTACGGGGAGAACTGTGTGTACCTCCACGGAGACTCCTGTGACATGTGTGGACTGCAGGTCCTGCATCCGATGGACGCTGCCCAGAGGTCACAGCATATCAAAGTAAGTCCTCGGGGCAGTGCCCTGTTAGTCCATGTGAGACTTCTCCAAGATGCACATCTCGTGGGTGTTTAACACAGTAACAGACTTGGGCAGCCTTTCCCAGGGTTCTCGAGTGATGATAGAACCCGTCTCCCTGAAAGAAACCTCAGGTTCCTTGGCTCCGTCACTCTCCATTCTGCCCTTCCTCCCACTCCTGGTAATAGCTAATCGCTAATCGTCTCTTGTCCCTGGCTTGGCCTGTTCTGGACATCGCCTATGAGTGGAATCCTGTGTGGCCTTTTGTGACTGGCTCAAACATGAGCATAATGTTTTCAAGACTTAGCATGGTAGTGTGTACTAGTACTGCGTTCCTTTTTCTGCCTGAATAATAATTCACTGTATAGCTATACCACATTTCGTCCTTCCATCCTTCAGTTGAAGGACTTTGGGGTTGTTTCACTCATTGGCTATTGTAAGGCTAAGAGCATGCATATGTGGGCATGTTTCAAGTTCTCTTAAGTTGCTGGGTCATCTGGTAACACAGTGCCTAACATTTTGAGCAGTGCCAGACTTTCTGGACACTGACTATACCATTTTATGAGGATTTCATACTAAGGATTTAAGTTGTTTTTTTTTGTTGTTGTTGTTTTTTTTTAAATGTATTCATTTGAGAGAGCTTGAGTGAGAAGAGGAGCAGGGGGCATGGAGAGGGAGAAGCAGACTACCCGCTGAGCAGAGAGCTTGATGGGGGGTTCTTGGGATCATGACCTGAGCCAAAGGCAGAGTCTTTTTTTTTTTTTTTTTTAAAGGCAGAGTCTTTTTTTTTTTTTTTTTTTAAGATTTTTTTTTTTTTTTTTACAGAGATAGATCACAAGTAGACGGAGAGGCAGGCAGAGAGAGAGAGAGAGGGAAGCAGGCTTCTTGCTGAGCAGAGAGCCCGATGTGGGACTCGATCCCAGGACCCTGAGATCATGACCTGAGCCGAAGGCAGTGGCTCAACCCACTGAGCCACCCAGGCGCCCCGAAAGGCAGAGTCTTTAACCCACTGAGCCACCCAGGCATCCCAGTAGCATAATTACTTTTTTTTTTAAGTAGACTCCATCCTCAGTATGGGGCATAAACCCATGACCATGAGGTCAAGAGCTACATGCTTCACTGTCTTGAGCCAGTTAGTCACTGCTCTTTCTTTAAGGTTTATTTGAGGGAGGAGGGGAAGGGAGAAAGGATCTTAAGCAGACCCCCTAGTAAGTGCAGAGTCCACGCGGTGCCTCCCTCTCAACAACCCTTAGACCATAACCTGAGCCTAAATCAGGAGTTGGGTGTTCAACAGACTGAGCCCCCAAGCATCCCTGACTCTTCAGTTTATTTAAGAAATTTCTCTGTAGCCAACACGGGGCTAGGACCCACAACCCTGAGTTGAAGGGTTACACGTTCTTCTGGGTGAACAAAGTGCCCACATAACTCTTAATTAAGCCCCATAATGGAAACAACCAAAATGTCCATCACTTGATGATTGGATACATAAATTGTGTGTCCATGTGATGGGATATTACTCGGCAGTAAAAAGAAACCGTGCTGATGCCTTCTACACTACAGGTGACTTTGAAACTGTGCTATGTGAACAGAGCCAGCCACAGAAGGACACGTGGTGAGGTTCCCTGAGTAAGCATAGCCACAGATGAGTGACTGTGGTGGAAGGGGTTGATTTTAGAGAAGTGAGTGACTGGCTGGGGGTATGGGGTCTTTCTTAGGGTGGTGCACACATTGTAATACTGAGAGTGGTGTGATGCTTGTGTGACTGTGCACCTGCCAAGACTGTGTAATTTTTTCTTTAAAAATGAATGAATCACACAGTAATCTTAAAGCTCTTTTTTAATGTGAAAATTAACTGTCCAGCCCCAGTTGTCACCTAATAAATGTTAGTTTCCTTCACCCTTTCTTTATGACACATTGCAAACTAAGACCTTAGTTTAATTTTAATTACATTTTCCATCTCGAACCCAGAAGATCGAAAAACTTAAGTATGAAAAACTAACATGGAAGGTAGTGGAGATTGGGTGTGTCGTCCCCCCCCCCCCGCCCCTGTTCTGAAGTTCTTACAATTTGACTCCAGTGATGTTAAAGGTCTAGAATGGCTGTCCACCTGTATTCAAGTATGAACAAAGCTGCTTTTGGTGTCAAACTGGGAACATCTTTTCAGTTGGCTTGTGAACGGTCAGCTTGAAGTCTTTCATTATTATTCAGTGACTTGATTACACTTATCTCTCCATTTTTTCTAGTCTTGCATTGAGGCCCATGAGAAGGACATGGAGCTCTCATTTGCTGTCCAGCGCAGTAAGGACATGGTGTGTGGCATCTGTATGGAGGTGGTCTATGAGAAAGCCAACCCCAGCGAGCGCCGCTTTGGGATTCTCTCCAACTGCAACCACACTTACTGTCTCAAGTGTATCCGCAAGTGGAGGAGTGCTAAGCAATTTGAGAGCAAGATCATAAAGTGAGATTCCTCCCCAATCTCCGTTTGTGCTTTCTATTTTGGGGAAGAATTTAGTATCTTGTGCCAACTTTCAACCAGATGGACCGCATTTAAATGCATGCGTTTTCTCTTGAAACTGGGGTATTCTAATGGGGATTTCTTTGTATTTCAGCTAGCTTCTAGGTTAGTTGGTATATCTACTTCTTATTTGAATGAGGAAACCCTATGTATCAGTTAGTAGAATCTTCGTGCTTTTTCTGAGGAGATTGTGTTTAATGGATTAGCCAGTTTAGGCTCCGTGAACAAACTAAATAGCTCTGAATGTATGTTTCCTGACATTTTACATTTTCCACTTTCCTATTCCATCCATTAAGCTAGCCAATAATCCACCATCCTTTAAAGATTGTTCTCATAACTGAACAAAAACTACATAATCGAAACAGAGCAAAGTTGCAAGAAATAAATTTATTTAAACGAAAGAAAAAGGAGTCCGTGTGAAATGTCTTCTTTTGTTTTCTGTTTTTTTTTGTTGGTTTTTTTGTTTTTGTTTTTTGTTTTGTTTTTTTAACAAAGTTACTTTTTTGAGTGAACTGGCTAGCCATTGAGTTGAATTTATCGAGGACTTGTCTTCCCTCACAAGAGATGGCAGTTGTGTGACAGTATGTGGAGCCCTTTCAGGAAATCCCCACTTGGCTTTCAGTTAAATCTTTAAGGAATGGAGGGGACACACCAGGGTGTGTCCTTGCAGAGGAGCGGGCCCGTGAAGGGGGATATGCATTGCAGCCTGTTCATTGTTTCCCAGGTCCTGCCCAGAATGCCGGATCACATCTAACTTTGTCATTCCAAGTGAGTACTGGGTGGAGGAGAAAGAAGAGAAGCAGAAACTCATTCAGAAATACAAGGAAGCAATGAGGTATGAGCACTGCAGCCTTTTCTCAAGCTAAGATCCCAACATAGCTTGGGTTCACTTTGAAAAGAACAGTGCTGCATTACACAACTCCTACCTCCTTCCTACCCTTTCTTTGACTTCCAGTGCGGTTTCCTTTTGTCACCCCTGATAACACCTCGCTGGGGATGTACCTGGCTATAACACAGTCCTTGGGGTGCGTGCCAAGGGGCTGTGTTATAATGAAGTCTGTACTGCTAGCTGATGCCCCATGAGTGGGCTGCTACCACCTCCTCCGTCCATGTTACAGTTGTCTCATGTGCTCATGTGTGGGCCTCCTAGGAGATTCTCTATCTCTACTGGATCTGCGTTACTGGAGCTGTTAAAAACAGCAAGGACCTGACCAGAGTGTCTGTTTCTGTAGTCGGTGCTTCATGCATTAGTGCACACGTATTTGAGAACACACCTTGGGGAGGGCTGGAAACAGGTGCTGGTTCTATCCTTCCCTGTTTAAAGAAAGACCGGATGATAGTCAAATACAGACCTGAAGTCCACTGTGAATAAGGGTTACGATATTTTCCTTTCCAGCAACAAGGCGTGCAGGTATTTTGATGAAGGACGTGGGAGCTGCCCATTTGGAGGGAACTGTTTTTACAAGCATGCGTACCCTGATGGCCGTAGAGAGGAGCCACAGAGACAGAAAGTGGGAACATCAAGCAGATACCGGGTAACTCTCACTGTTTTTTTAAAGGAGGGGAAATAGCACGCGATCAGTTGAGCCCTGCACAGATTGGGGTAGGGGAAGGAGATTAACACTCAGGTCTGGGAGTGAGACTGGCGGATGAAAGGAGACCGGCCACCCCAGGAAACCGGGAGGGATAGGCGAGGGAAAGCTAGAGCTCGTGGTTTGCCTCAACCAGAGGGGAGGAATTGGTAAGTTCGAAACCCTAAATAAGAAGTCTGGTTCGTCATGCCCTCTGGTGTGCTGGACGTTTTGCCTTAGAAACAACAGACTAGAAGATACTGCTCGACAGTGCCATCCCTATCATGGCCTTGTTTTTTACAGGCCCAACGAAGGAACCACTTCTGGGAGCTCATTGAGGAAAGAGAGAGCAGCAATCCTTTTGACAACGAAGAAGAGGAGGTTGTCACCTTTGAGCTGGGCGAGATGTTGCTTATGCTTTTGGCTGCAGGTGGGGACGACGACCTGACAGACTCTGAAGACGAGTGGGACTTGTTTCATGATGAGCTGGAAGATTTTTATGACTTGGATCTATAGCAGCTTGGCGTGGCGGGTGAACTGGTCTGCTGGGCCTCAGGCAGTGGCTGTCCCCGGTGGTGTGGCAGTGCCCGAGTTTCTCTCCTAGGCGGGCCTCTAAACTCCAGGTGCTGTTGTGATCCTCCTTACCCAGGGCCTGTCTTTTCAATCCCTCACCTTTCCCCAAGGAGTGTGTTGTGTTCTCTGTTCAAAAAAAAAAAAGTTACAAAAATAAATCTTAAAGCTAGTTTTTTTTTGTAACATGAATTTGACTGTCAGACAGTTAGCGTAGGTCTATGGGGTCATCGGTTTCCCACCAGTCACTGTGTTCTAAGGTAGAGTTGATGGACTCGCCACACTCACTCGGTGGACCCCAGGTTCAGAAGGAGTAGAAGTGGCCCTGCTCTGGGCTCCGAGAACACAAGTGATGGGTGATGGATCTGCGCTGTAGCCCGTAGTTGGCCGCAGACTAACAGGTGGCTCCTCCCGGTTTCTGGTGAAGTCTGCGCATCCAAGTTTATCTCCGTCCCCTCCCCCGTGACCCCCCACCTGTGCACTTGTTCTGTGGTTTTGGTCTCTTGTTGAATTGCACACACGTCCTACTACCACTGGGTAACCAGAACCAGGTGCGAATGTGTTGAGATTTTTACTGTCGCGTGTGATAGAATTGTGAAGGGGCACACGGCAGATGCAGTGGCGTCAACGAAAAGCCGAGCCGGAAGCGGACTCCCGAGGGCGGATAGACTTGGTGTGGGTGGGTGAGAGCGTGCGAAAGCTGCTTGTCCCTGTAGATGTTGTGTTCTTAGCCTTAGTGGGTAAACGATGGGTTTTGTGGTTTCAGCCTCGTATGGCACGTAGATTGTAAGGGACAGAGCAGTATGTCGGTAGCTGTCAGTAGAGCAGTGCTAGAGCTCTGTCTTCACATAGAGCAGTGGGCATAGCCGCAGAGTTTCAGCTGTCCGGTGGTCCCATACGTTAACACAAACCAGGGCTTGGACACACGGTTGTATTTAATGTTTTAGGGTTTCCCAGCCTTTCTAGCCCAGGCACTTTTTGGACAAAGTTTGTCCTCGTTTGAGGTTTCGTTGTCAGGTTTTTGTGTTCGTTTTTGTGGGTATCTGCCTCCTCACATCCCTGAGCTTTGCAGGTAGACAGTGATTCAGAACTTAAATTCTAAGGTGTTTCTTGTGGCGGGTCAGGGGTTGGCAGGAGTTCAGTCATACTTTTCCACTCAAGTGGGGAGGGAGTGGTAATCCACAAGCTGAGCTAAATGCTAAGTTGTTAGAAGAATTTCTTGATTGGAAATTTTAGCGTTTGAGTTTTGTCTCTTGTTCATAAAACAACTTGGAGATCCTCCTCATTTGTCCCATCTACTGCTTTTGAGTCCTTGGATCCTACCCATTTCTTTTCACTCAAAGAAAAAATAAGTAATTGTTGCAGAGGTCTCTGTATTTTGCAGCTGCCCTTTTGTAAGAAGCACTTTTCCCAAATAAAACAATAAAAAAACCCAAATTGGCTTTGTTTTGTGTAATATATGTAATGAGCTGTTCTGAAATGTGGAGGTGTCAAAACAGCATTCGTTTCTCTCATGGACTCTGATCAATTCATCAATTACTCTGGATGTAGTTTCATTGAGACAAGTGATCGCTTTCCTAATAAGACCTGACCTGCTGAGAAGCACTACTTGAGTGATAAAGAGGGAAATTTCCTGACCAGCTGGGATCCTCAAACTATTTGTGGTAGAATTCTTCTCAGGCTGCCTTCAGTTTTCATCTGCCACCCGAACACTTGCCTGTAGGAACTTGCCTCCTACCCACAGATAACAGGTAGGTCACAATATAGTAGCCTACAATAGGCTACAGTAAAGTAGCCTTTCAAAGCACAATATAGTGCTTTGAAAGGCTACTTTACTCCGTAACTCTCCCATCTTTGAGTAAAAACCATTCTGTGATGACCGTACATTCCCTGTTGGTAGAAGTACTGATGCTCGGGGAGGCCTGGGAGACTCCCTCGGTCTTAAGCATCGGCTCTTGGCTCAGAGGGCGGCACAACAATCCCTTGTGCTCCCTGCTCCGTGGGGAGTAGTCCTCTGTCCCTCCTCTTTGTTCTCACTCTCAGACAAGTGGAATCTTTCCAAGGTACTGCTTACAATACTGATACTATGATTTAACGGTGTTCCAGGTTTCCATTTCTAGAAACTGTATTGTGACGTGGCATAGTCATGCTAACAGCTGTAGGTCCCGGAGGAGTCTGTTAGTGCGCGTATGTATCCACTGCTTTCTTTGAGAAGTGTTCAGTCTGTCTCCAGCTGCTAGTGACCAGGCTGTGCTGGGGATCACATGAACTCCCAGAGTTGATGGGAGAACCTCCGAGGCCAGGGGGAAGTGTTGGAGCTCCGAGTGGGGAAGAGAGACTTCATGAAAGGCACTACATTTTGGTGTCCGGAAGGCAGGCTGGTGCCCATGGATAGCGGTGCTGTTGGTGTGTCTGTGTCTCTGGCTGAGAGAATGGTCTGGGGAGGTGACGAGCTAGCTTCTGCAGTTAGGGAGGTTTGTGTTGGGAGCAGCTCCCTTTGCCTCTTGGAAAAGGCAATGGAAGTTTCTGTATCTGCCAGTCGTAATGTGTGTGGCTGCCCTGTGCCTGTTCCGGCTGTAGCAAGTGAATTCTCACTGCTTGTTGGTCCAGAAACCCTGGGCTCCTTGGCCCAACCTCTGTCCTGCCACCACACACAAGAAGGGATGTTTCTGTCCCTAGCTCATAGAACATGCACAGGTTCGTTCCTTAAAAAGAATCTGGGGGAAATGAGAAGCAAATACTAGCTAAGACTTGAGATGGAGGAGGTACAGGGTGTGGGTCGAGGTACAGGGTGTGGGTCACGGCACACAGGTGGAAACCCATCATACAAGGAAAACTAAGTGGGGTACTTCTGTTCGAAGTACTCTGTTAGGTTAGTAATTTTAGGCATTGTACTCAAGGTAATCAAGTAAAAACTGTTGATCGACTAAATTGTCTTGCTCAACCAATATAAACTTGGTGTTTTAAAATTGGTATGAAAGGGGCGCCTGAGTGGCTCAGTCATTGGAGTGTCTGCCTTCCGCTCAGGTCGTGGTCCCAGAGTTCTGGGATTGAGTCCTGCATCGGGCTCCCGGCTCAGTGGGGAGGCTGCTTCTCCCTCCCTCTGCCTGTTGCTCTGCCTACTTGTGCTCACTCATTCTGGCAAATAAACCTTTAAAAAAAAATGGGTATGGGGACGCCTGGGTGGCTCAGTTGGTTAAGCAGCTGCCTTCGGCTCAGGTCGAGATCCCAGCGTCCTGGGATCCAGTCCCACATCCGGCTCCTTGTTCGGCGGGGAGCCTGCTTCTCCCTCTGCCTCTGCCTGCCATTCTGTCTGCCTGTGCTCGCTCGCTCTCCCTCCCTCTCTGACAAATAAAATCTTTAAAAAAAAAATGGGTATGAAAAAAATTGTTAGGGAAAATACACGAACTGTACTTGGTTTCTTGCCTTACCCATTGATAGTCTTACTGATGATTTTAATGCATTTTTTAGAAGGTTTACTGGTAAGATTTTTTTAAAAGCTTTTATTTATTTGACAGAGCTCACAAGTAGGCAGAGAGGCAGGCAGAGAGAGAGAGGAGGAAGCAGGCTCCCCGCTGAGCAGAGAGCCCCACGTGGGGCTCGATCCCAGGACCCTGGGACCATGATCTGAGCCGAAGGCAGAGGCTTTAACCCACTGAGCCAGCCACCCCGGGCGCCCCACAGGTAAGATTTTTAAGGATTCTGTTAGGGCACCTGGTGGGTCAGTTGGTTAATCAGCTGTCTCATGGGCTCAGGTCATGAGTTCCGGGATTAGGCCCTGTCAGGGTTCCTGCTCTGCTGAGAGCCTGCCTGCTTCTCCCTCTGCCTACTTGGTGCTTGGTTTTTCTGACAAAGAAAAAAAAAAATTTCTCAGAGGGACCGGAGAAGCAGGCTCCCCCCTGAGCAAGGAGCTAGATGCAGGAGGACCCTGGCATGACCTGAGCTGAAGGCAGCCGCTTAGCGACGCAGGCCACCCAAGTGCCCCAGGACACCGGTATTCAAAAGGGCAACAAGCACTGGAGCACCTGGTGGCTCAGTGGGTTAAGCCTCTGCTTTCTGCTCAGGTCATGATCCCAGGGTTCTGGGGTCAAGCCCGCATCAGGGTCTCTGCAGGAAACTTGTTTCCCCACGTCTGTCTGCCTGCTTCTCTGACAAATCTTAGGAAAAAAAAGTCAAGCATTTATTTACATTGGTGCTGGCTCAATCAGTAGAGCATGCGTCTGTAGGTCTTTCAGGGCCCTGGGTTCAAGTGTTCGAGCCCCACATTGTGCTCAGAGATCAGTTTAAGAGAAAATTGTTGTAAGTAGGGTAGAGACGGAAGGTAAGTTCTAAATATCCTTCAAACACCGGAAGCCGTTTCTGTAGCCATGAGCAGCAAAGGAATTCCGGATTTTGAGAGTGCACGTGAGTGGGAGCAGAGAAGCAGCCAACTCCCTGCTGAACATGGGGCTCGATCCTCGCCACCCCAAGCAGGCTCCTTTTGTACAAAAGTGGGCCTCTGAAGTAACTTGAGCAAGGCAGTGCTTGTTGCTTTGTATTAAATGACAGGAGGAGAGGTGCTTGGGTGGCTCTGTTGGTGCCTTTGCCTTAGGTCATGATCCTGGAGTCCCACTATAGGCTACTCTGAACCTCCCATTTCCTGCTCTCAGTTCTCCAAAATTTAAAAGGAAAAAAAACTCCCATTGCTGATATTAAATACAAAATACTGAAGATCTTCCCTAAAACTAACCAGGTCTCCATTAGACCACCTCAGCTGCACATAGACACAAATTCACCATGGAGTGAATAACCCAATAAGCTGGTTAATTTTCGGGTCCAGTTGATGTGCTTATTTCCTTTTAATCAGAAGCTGCTTCCCCCTCAAATGTAGAGACTTCCAGAATGCTTATGCAGTCCTGTCTTAGCCAACAGTGAACATAATCTATAATGTAAAACTGGATTTGAAAAAAAAAAAAAAAAATGAAGACTCCTTCCAGATGGCATGCTTACAGAGGGCTGGCGTTTACTTAGGGTAGACACAGCCTCAACTCACTCTCCCATGGCCCTTGCCTTTGGTGTTCGACTCCGTTACTGGATAACATTCTACAGACAGAGCACTTGCCAGCTACTGGGCCTACCCTGGAGGTGTGAGCACACAGCAGAAAGCGTGCTCTGCAAAATGGTCCTTGTGGTACCTCCAGATCCCAGACTCCTTTGCAGTTCATCTGGTGCCATGTAAGTGCTCCTGGGCACCTGCTCCAGGCCTCCAGTCCAGTCCCTCTTGCTGTAATGGAGATGTTACCTGGATCCCTAAGTCTCAGGAGAGGGGAGAGTCTCCATCCCAAATGATGGAGACGTGGAAGATTTTTGAGGTTGGGATTTGGTGCTCATTTTCCCAATGTATCCTGGCATGAACTATCCTATAACACTTTTTTTTCCATGAACTTAGCATATTCATGTGATTTTCTTACTGCGGACCTCAAGTATTTGAGTAAATACTGTGTTTTAGTGGTTGTTTATGATAATTTGAGTATTATAAAGGTGTAGATGAAAATGAGCTTTTGAAAGATAGTGTGAGCAGAAGAGGGAGAATGCCTAGCAGGCCTCCCACTGAGCAGAGCCTGCTGGAGGTCTTGAGATCAAGACCTGAGCTGAAATTAAATAACAGACCGAGTTACCCAGGTGCCCCTATAATGAGAGGTTTTAATAAGAGACCTGGCTCACCTCTGACAGCAGAGATGGGGTGGGGAGTGGGAGGGTGGGGAGAAAGGGCATCCTTCAGAAGGAAGAGCTGTGTGGAAGCCCTGAGGCAGTCACAGGCAGAGCAGACAGCAGTTCTTAGGTCCATTCTTGGCATCTAGTGGCCCCTCGAGTGTCAGTAACCCAGGCTGCATTGGTGAAGTTCGGTATTGTAGTAAATAGTGAGATCCTGACCCTGCTGTTGGAACCAGCCAGCAGAGCTCAGACTTCACCAAGGGTGGGGGGAGGTGGGGACCTCGGTGAGCTGGAGCCTGTAACGCGGTAGTTCCTGAGTGGGGGTCCTTTCCTGCTAGCGCTGGGACCACTGTGGGAGCCTGAGAAGTTGACGTGTGTGTGTGTGTGTGTGTGTGTGTGTGTGTGTTTCAACAGGCAGCACAGGCTGTTGGCCCCCCGCCTGGCGTTGGGAAAGCAGTCTATGGGGCTTGTGTGTTTTCACTGGTTGGGATTTATGTTGTGTGAGTTTACATGCTCAGGCATGTGATAGGGAAAAACTAAGTGGCCATGGGAATGTGGAGTATTGATTTAAATTAGAAATTTCCAACTGAAAGCATATGGAACTGCAGACTTAACTAACGGAGCAGTAACGCCATTGAGAGCCAGAGAGAGAGAAAGCATTTTTTACCTCGTTCCAGTGTTTGATAACCAGCAGTCAAGCAGGTCAGTGACCCGTAAACCCTCCTGCATGCAACTTG